TCGATCTTGGATCAATTGGATTGTTACTCTTGGGATGGATTGATACTCAAAGGAAAGCAGGCTTAGAGCAATTCCCGCTCGAGATATCTCATCGAATCCATCTCTACTCTTATACCCTGTTATCGCTTCTGATTGTCTGCTGCCTTCGATTGGTGTAATAATACCCTATATTGACAATTTTATGGCAACAGGGCATAAAACAGTTTCCATGACAGCTTGGCAATGACTTCATTTGGATTATAATCCAAACACACAAAAGCACACCCACACATACACATGCACGACACACACATATGCATATGAAACAGGCGCGTATCTGTTTGTAAATGCGACAAAAAAAAAAAAATCTGTCTGTTTATTAAAATTCAGCTTGTCAATTTGCCAGACCGTGCGAAAAACGCATAATATTTACTCTGGAGTATATAAATATTTAAATATATCGTTGATTTTCAATTCGATTGCAATTTCATAAGTTTTTGTTGCGTTTTTGCGCTGTTTGCTTTTAGTGCTGTGCCGCACAATGGTGCGTATGCGCAATTATCGTTGTGAGTCCTGTTCGTGTTGTTTGCTCACTTACTCAAACAGCAGCATAAAACTCAATTACGCTGTGGCTAAGCTACTCTAATGGCAAATTAAAGCGAGAATCAGAGCAGCAACAACAACAGCAACAACTGCAACAACTGCAACTGCATTTGATTCCTCCGGCCAGTTGACTCTGAGGCATATGTGGCCAACTGTTGTTGGCAGCTACACAAGTTGGCCATAATGTGCAACCACCAACACCTAAAACGATGATGGCAACCACAGCTGCCTCAACAATCCCAGCCGCATAAGCCCCACCGCCCAGCACCCTCCACCGCCCCTCGTGCTGTCTGTCTTTTGTGGCTCCCATTTCGATGTCTGCTGCTGCCGCTTCTTTAGCTGAGTGTTGCGTGTTGCCGCTGCCAGTTTTCCGAAATGACATTGCCACTTTTCCGGGCGAGCTGATAATGATGATGGCAGAACATTTGGCCAAATCAATTTAAGCAGCGCGCGTGAGCGTGTTCATGGGCGTGGCTATAAGCGCTAATGTCAATGGCTGAAACGTCTATCAAATTTACGCCCTCCAAATTGGGGCACTGGGAATGGAACTCGAAGCTAGCTGGCTGAAAGCGCAGCAGTTCAAACTGAACTGAAACTGATTTTAATTGAATAAATTTGGCGTTGGTTATGTGTGTGACAGCCGAACCGCAAAACTAAAGTTGAATTGAATAGGGAGATGCAAGTGTCCGGTCTGAAATTGAGCTGACAGCGAACACCTGAGTAGAGACTTAAAGGTATATTGATATATTTAATGGGTGCAAGTAAATGCGGCAAGTGTAAAAATCTGCAAAATATATATGTACAAACATATAAAACGAATCAACGAACTATAAGTATTTTTAGCTCGTTTTAAAGGCTGAGCATTCATATAAACGTGTTTACATGTATTTAATATATTTAATAATAAATTACATCAACCTCCACGTCGATTGACAGCAGTATTACAAATATAATATCAACGCCCACGAACATCTGTCAACGCTCGCTTAACTTTCGCATGAGGCAATAAAAAAAGCGTTGCCTACTTTCCGGTGCGGTGTTAAAAAACGTTTTCCTGTGCCGCCATTTTGTTTTGTGCTTGGGGGTTTGCAGCGTTAATTAAACGCACCAAGCAAAAACTCATCAACGCATTAACTATGACGTCAGGGCGTGCAACGCTGCACTGCCTGCTCTAACTGTTTGTGCATTCCACTTTGATTACGCGTATTTGCATGCGGCGCCCCGCCTCTCTCACTCCATCCCCCTTCGTTTTGCCACACAATATGCTTGGGCAAATATTTGTCGTGGATAAAGCACGCAGCGCCACCTGCTATGGAATGATGCAAGTTATTGCCATATGAGATATTCATATTGATTTTGAATGCATTGCATTCAATTTGAGAAGCTGGAATCATTCTACGCATTGCTGAGAGCGTGAATTAAAGCGAAAGCGTGAAACCAAAACCGATGTCGCGGCATTTGAACGCAACGTAATTCTTTGCGGTCAAGTGGACAAGCAAACAGTTTCATAAATAAATTTATAGCGAATGTCGCGCTCTGATATAATTAATGTGGCCCATTTGTCGGTGCGGACATTAAGGCGGCTATTTAAGCAACTGAATGCCAATTGAACGCACACACGACGCACAGGCGGCGATGCGACGTCAGCACCAAAAAACAGATGAACCAACGGCCGGGAGCGCACATGAAATATTACAGAAGTCGAGCGCACACAGAGGCGACAGCGTAACCAAGCAAGTGACGGCATTATAGTTTGATTTACGCACCCTACGCTGGGAAAAGGAGAAAAGCGCATAGGAACATTAATGACACAGCAAATGCTATCCGTTGGCAATAAAGATTGCAATTCGATAAGGAAACCTGCGTAAACACGTGCGTGTCCTTAATTAGTTCTTAGATCTGGTCAATGACAAACAGGATATCAATTTTTTATTTCTATACACAATAATGTCAGCGTCACCTGTATAAGCATTTCTTATTAACAAAGCTCTTTTAATTTGCTAATTTAGCACTTGCATTAAAATCCAAATGGATCGAAGTATACGACGAGTATATAAACATTCGACCAATTCTATGGCCAAGGCGAACTTACGCTTTTTAGGTCTTTTACTCGCGACACGTGACAAAACCAAGTGCTGGAAATCATATAGCCATAAATTCTCGCAATAAACATGCAGTTAAAGTCCTTAATCTTTAGGGTCAATAAATTTCCACATATGATTTTGATACATTTCCCGTTTTACTGCTTTCCAAATGCAATTGCAGTGGAAGATTGTAAAATACGTTGAAATGAATGTTATAAGCAACAATTTGGTTGTATCCATTTTTTATGTCTTGCATTTATTTATAAGAAGAAGAAATATGTTGGCCTGCATATTCATTAACGTAGCAGTCGCATTTATCATATATATATTTATAAATATATATATATATGGGGTTGCACTCACTTGATTGCATGTATAATTATGTGTATGTATAATTTGATGTTGTGTTGTGAGTGTGTGTGTATAAGTGTGTTTGTAGGTGTAGGTGTTGGTGTAGGTATCGGTATATAGCATTAATGGGTAGTCTCAATAATGATCTCGTGCGTATCCAGATCGGGCACCGAAAACTTCATCGGCAAGTAGTCATCCGCATGCATATGCGACATTTGATTAACCTCTATCTGGGAGCGTTCATGATCGACATGGCACTTGCCCTCATGCTTCTCATAGTCGCCAAATGTTTCGAAAATGGCACGGCAAATCATGCACTCAAAGAAGCTTCTACAAAGGCAAGAGAATAAGATTAGATTAGGTTACTCAGAGATCATTTTCTCTTACGGTTTCTGCTCAGCCTCTAGACGCTCCCGTGCTAGGGCCGTTGCCTGTTGTATTGCACCGGGCACATCGACATCGACGCCCTCTTTTATGTGTGACTGCAGATGACGCTTGAAGTTGGAGAGCTGTGTAAAGCCCTTCTCACAATAGTTGCACTGATACGGCTTGGCATTCAAATGGCCCAGCTTATGCTTCTTGAGGTTGACCAATTGCGAGAAGTAGCGGCCACAGCGCTGGCATCGAAACGGCTTCTCGCCCGTGTGTGTCATTTTGTGGCGTTTCATATTGCTTTGCTGGGTAAAGGATTTATTGCAAAAGGTGCACTGATATGGACGCTCGCCGCTGTGTACGGCATAGTGTCGCTGCAGATTGACAGCCTGTGCAAACGCCTTCGAGCATATGTTACATACAAAGGGACGCACATCGTTATGGACCTTCATGTGGCGATCCAGATTGCCGCTGTTGCAGAAATTTTTGGCGCACAGTTTGCATTCGTAGGTAGTTTTGTTATGATTGTGCACCTCCTGACGATGGAGCGTTTGATCGCGTTTACTTTTAAACGTCTGCGGGCGGGCCAAAAGGAATATATCTTGTAGATAATATGTTAAAGTGAACTCTATGACAGGGAAACTTACGCGGTCGCAACGTTTGCAGCTAAACTGATTGACTACTGTCTCATCGAATTCCACCGGGATGCCCGCCATTTTGGGCGCTGCTACAACATCGATCCGATGCGGTTTTAAATCCTGAATCGTACTTATTGGAAATAACAGATCCATATAGAGTACAAGTGTACTAAAACTTACTTTGAACTCCCTAAATTATATGTAATTTTTTCGCGTCTTGTAGAAAAGTCATATGGTAGTAGCGATGTGAGCTACATATCAATACATCGTACTATCGGTATAGTGCATATTGAACTTTATCGAAGATATATCGATAATTAATCCAACATATCCACATTTTACAATGTGCGAAAATTTAACACTTTTTGTATAAATAACCATATATTTTATTAAAATATAAATTTATATACATAATGCATATATAATACATAGAAGTAATCAAAACATATTCTAAAGAATAGTAAATAATTAACTCCCATATGACAGGCATGACCTCTTGTCGCATCATAAAATTAATACTTTATGTACAATTTGTAAATATATTCTATAGTCTTGTAATATATTAAACAGAAATTCAAGAAGTACTAGTACTAGTATTAATTTTAAGACGAATATATGTGGCGCAACCTTCGCCGTGCAATATGCTTGACAAATACATCAACAGGGATGCATCTCGTAATCAGCTGTTCTGTTACAACTTGTATAGCGCTGTTAATGAACTAATGTTATAGCTTATCTAGCGGCTGCAATGTCTTTTTCTCCTAGTATTATTGTAAATACAAACAAATATTTAACATAAAAATATAATGAGGATAATTTATTAACAAACTGCATTTACCAAATCTATATTTCAAACCAAAAAGAGTAAATATGTCAATTTCCCAGCACACTGGCTTACCACTGTTAACAACAGTGGTAGCAATGCTAAATTTTAGGGGTGACCACATATTCTCATTAGTGTTGGTTTGGAACAAAAACTAAACAAGAAGAAGAATAATTAAGAGGAACACAACTCCTGGCAGCTACAAATGCTGAGATAACTAAGAATTTTGTATTGTTTTGTGAAGAAAGAGACGTGTTACCTAGTGCAATGGCCACGTATTCCAATGCGCACTGGCTCCTCTCGCACATACGCAACTCATTCATCTCCACAGATGATACGGGCATATGCGAGACCGTAATGCTGAGCGACGATATGCCCAAGCATTATTTGCGGAAATTTCAAACTGCCAACCCAGCGATGGAAGCCTATAGACGCAGCCATCGAGCCGCGCAGCAGCGTAAATCGCAAGTTCCCAAAACTCCAGACACTGCCACGCCTATGCAACGAACTGCTCCATTGCAGCATATGGTGCCACCGCGAATAGCGGATCCGCCGCTGCAAGAGGTCGATTTCGTTTGCTACCCGGGACTCGATCTGAGCGATGACGAGGATCTAGATATGTCGACGCATTCGTTTGACATACAAATGTATCCCGAAGTGGGCGCCCATCGGTTTCGCTCGAATACAGCACAGAAACTCGAAAAACTGGATATAGCCAAGCGCAAAGCGGCGCGAATTAAAAGCGTCAACTACAATGAGGAAGTGGTCCCGCCGGATCGCAAAGATTTCTTCAAGCGAAAAGTGCTTAACGAACAACCCATTGATAAGCCCTCCACATCAGCCGCCGCTGCAGCGGCTGCGGCAGCGGCAGCAGTACGAGCAACAAAAGTGAGCCGAACGGAAACAGCCAGCGATGATGAAGTTTCCGAAGGTCGAGTCAGGAGCAAGCTGTCGGAGCAGCTAGCCAGAAGTCCGAAACAGGCACAGAATCGTTTCATTGAGTATGCGCGCTTCGATGGCACCGCCCAGGTGGGGATGCCCACGAAGCGAATAAATGTTTATGTAAATATGCTGCCCGAGCCGGAGCGCAATTACCCGCTCAAGATCTGTGTGCTATCTACGGCGAAGATCATAGAGGTCATTGGCCTGGTTTGCTACAAGACTACCCTACAGTATCCAGATGCAGTGCAGCTGCAATCTGTGCAGCATTATGCATTGTATATGACGGAGGACAACGATGACATGGATGATTTCCCGCCACTAGACAATCGTGAGCCATGCTCCAAATTTGGCTTCTCGCATTTGACTTTGGCCGAACGAAGGCCCTTGGCGCCCGTCACCCGCATTGACTATCACAATCAGCTGGGCACAAAGTCCATGACATCCGAGGAGGATAAGGCGGCAATGGCGGATGCTGCACTGCATGCCCTGCAAAACATCAATTTAAATGGCGATGTGCCGGATGCGGGCGGAGGAGACAGTCCGCCGGATCATGTCAAGGAGTATGAGCAGCGCCTGCTTAATCACAATGATATGCTGGAGGCACCCATGCATCGCACCTATCGAGTCAGCATCATCGGCAGACCCTTCTTCAAGTATGATGCGACGCTGGCCGTCTCAGGGGAACGCATTGAGATCGATCAGCTCAATAACCATTTCTTTATGCATCGGAAGCCTCTGTCGACGCCCATTGACTTGGTGGCGCACTGCGAGATTGTGGACCAGGGACAGCAGAGGGCGATGCTGCGCATTTGGCTAAAAGCTAACTCTTCCATCAGCCTGCCCATTAGTTGCACCTCGGCACCCAGCATGACGAGCATCACGAGCGGGAACGGTGTCTACTCACCTGCCAATTCGCGTTCCCCGTGGATGCACTCTAGTTCACGGTTCGGCGTTACCACCATATCCAACATTCGTTTCAAGCACTATGACTTCGTTACGGACGTGCATACGGCGGAGCAGATACGCAACAAACTGAACTGCATACTGGAGATGCGTGCCAGCGATGTACGGCGCGAGTTCCTGCTGCATCGCGAACGGAAACAGAAGCAGCTGGCCAAGCGCCAGCTAAAGTTGTAGTATTGTGTTCCTATATTGCTGGCCAGGCTGGGCCGCCTCGCCTCGGGTTGTTCGGTGTGCCGCCTAGCGTGCAATAGACGCAACTCTTGAGGCCAAACTACTTTTGTTTGTCGTTGACCGCCGGCTAATTAAACCGCTCCCACTCCTTCCCTCCTCTCACTCTCTCCCAACTCCAATTTTCCCGCCTAGCTTCCTCCATACATCCGTTGAAGTTGTATTTTAGTTGCTAACCTAAAGAGGCGTGTGCTACACACGTTTCGCATAGCCTATAAGTATTTATTGAAACACTTAAGTAACTAAAAACCAATCCGAAGTGCAAAATGAAAAATAAATAGCATCAAAGTTCACAATTATGCTGAAAGACAAACACTCTGCTATCAGCTTCCACTCAATTACTGTAAATTGTGTAATATTAGCAACAATACACACACTGAGACTAGCGCCTTCGTCTATAACTGCAATCGACCTACCCAGTCGGCTCAAAGAGCATTCTGTGCATCATGAAAACAGCAGTGAGCTGCTCACACAATACTGACTTCCCATACAGACGCCGTTGGAAAGTGCATTAGGTTCAACTGGACTACTCACAATAATAACAACAACAACAACTCAAATATTGACGAGTGACGGAATATGTTTCACCTTCGCCTCTGGCTGAACTAGAGCAGACCCAGCTGAAATTGAGCACATGAAAAGTGCAGTGACGAGCTGTTCTTTAAGGGTGATCGCTGGCGGCAGCTTTCTTCGTTTCTAAGTTCGGCTGGGTCATCAAATGAGCTCGCGCTCGTTGTCTCTCTTTCTCTTTCTCTCCCGTTTGTGCTGGCATACAAATGCTCGAACTTGAGCTACTTCCGTATTAGCTGCTTCAATTGTAAGCGTCTGACGCGATCGCGCGCGACTTTGACGCGTTTTTCTGGCGTTTTGTGCGCGATTAGCGTTTTGTATTTCCGTTTAGCGCGGCTCGTTGACATTGCAATTGTCTGTAATCAAAGTGCAATTAATCTAACAGACCCCCAGACGGGGTCGGGCCGCACTAACGGCTATTATTTGTTTGTTTTTTTTTATTGCAATTGTATTTATTAAGTTTGGATTGTCGTTAGATTTGTGTTTTATTTATAGCATTGCAATGTCAGCCGCTAAGCTTCGTGAATGGGCGGTGTCTAGGGACGGCAGCTGTGGAGCTGATTAACAGCTGTTTTAACCAAGTGCCGTTAGAATTATGACAGATCTGTGTGAATCGAGCAATACGATAAATATGTATACATATTTATATATATAGTTGTATTTAACGTTAAGTCATCAAACGCTTGTTTTCGTTTCGATTCTATGTAAGGCCAAGGTTGCTTAACAAAGCAAAACAAAAGCACACAATTGCGATTTCACTGGCAACAGAATTTGACATTTGAGGTCAGCCAATGATGGTGATGATGATGCTGCCGGTGCTGCTTCTAACTGGCGTGACTATATAAAGTCAGGCATTAACAAGTTCAACAAATGAATCAGCAATGATTGATTAAAACGAAATTAAAAATTTGATTATATTTTTCAAACCTTTTACATGCCTATATATTTATCCATACATACATATGTATATATTCAATGAATAAACTTCTGACGGAGTCGATTAATTTCGATGAGACTCCCGTTCAAGAAAACTTCTAAATTCTCTGTGGAGTTAGGCTTAAAGAATTTCATATAAATTTTAAAATCCATCTCTGGCATAAAAGCCGGCAATTTTTCCAAACTACCCATGTTATGGAAGTACAGTAGGCCCTATAGAAGAGGAATGAGCTTCTATACAGCAGACGACCTCTACATCCAATGTACTTACCCTCCTAATGGGACACTGTGGTACCAAATTGGTCGCCTTCAGCATCGTCTGATAGATAGAGGTAACTATCTTGTTAGCCGTACTGCCGTTGCTTAGCAGTTTACAGATATCCAAAGTGGTATTGAAGATAATCATTTCAGTTTTCTGTGGGGGTCGCAAGACAATCAGCTTACAGTTGATCCAGACCACAGGCATGGGCTCAAGCAGTGTCAATTCTGTGTTGATATTGCCATTCTCGGCGATGACACAGCTCCAGTTTTTGATGATCGACCAGCTATTGATGCAGTCGAAGCCATGAAAATTCACCATATAACGCAGACGCTGCAGAGTTGAAGAGCATATAATGGCAGTAGTGTGATAGTAATTGAATCCTTAGAGCACTCACTCGTGCTGTTTCTACGGTAAATCCGATTCCCAGCAGCCCGAGTAGACAGAGGTAACAACAAATGCGATTCATCTCCATGGCAGAACTAAATGAAATTGCCAATTTCCACCTGTTGAGTTAAAACCATCAATTAAAATGTAATTATAAACTTAACTAACCGTGTACATACTTAGTAGTGCTTCAATAGCTAAGCAAATGATCCAAATTAAATATTAACAAATTCACGTAATTGTTTATCCCATTGTTGTTGTTGTTTTTTTTTTTTTTTTAGGGCTACAAGACGTATGCGTAATATTTGTGGTCTATTTTGTCAGTTTGTCTGTTTAAGTGATTAAGGTGCATTATATATGGCACATATGCATATATATCTACAGTACATATATGACTTGTCCATGCCCATGATTTATGCGTATCACACGTAGCCTTGACGGCTGCAACTCCACCTCCAAAAAAGAGAAAAAGGTAGAAAATCCAGTTAAAAATACGACACAAAATCCCAATTTGAATATTGCTTGCAATTTGTCAAATTGCAACGCGAGTTCAATGTTTTATATGTATGTATTTTTTTTTTAATATGTATGTATACACTTATATATATCTGCAAAAAGCTCATTGCGAATAGAATTTATTATTGGCAAGTGCAGCTTGACAACGTCGACAAATTTTTTTTTTTATATTTTGGTTAAAATTTTTGTTCTTTTTCATTTTTGTTGTATTTTTTTTTGTTTTAGTATATATATATATATATTTTTTTTTTTTTGTTAATGAATTTTTATTTGCTTGCCACTTGTGCTGCCGTTTTATTATCAGCTAACTAACTTAAGAATAGACACACACACAGACACTCATACACCCATACTAAGTGCCTTTTGATTACAAGGATGCTTTGTAGCTACAGCTAATTGAAAGTCAATAAATGCATTATAAACATTTTTAATTACAAATGCACACAATTGCAACCTTGACATTGAAAATGAATGACAGACAGACAAACAACAACAACAACAGCAACAACAATTACAACTACAACAACAGCTATGAAAAGTTCACGTATGAAAGTTGAGAGCGTGTTGGCTGACAAACTTGGCACGCATTGTGAGCGGATTTTCACTGCAGCAGCAGCAGCAGCAGCGGCGGCAGCGACAGCAATAGTAGCAACAGCAGCAACACTAACACCAACAACAACAACAACAATATTGTTTAGAAAAGTGAGCGGCATAGCAAAATGTTGTGCCGGCCCGTTTTGTCAATTTATCAATTGCATAAAATAATAGGCCTAGGCGCATAATTTAATGTCGCGATTTTTTAGAAGGCCGCACGGCCAGCTTCTATGCATATGCAGATTAATCACGATGCAACAACAGCAGTAGCAACGGCTAAAACAACAGCAACAACATCAACATCAACAACAGTTGCATGTGGCATGTGTCACGCAATGGAAACGGACAATGCAAATCTAAAGCCGATGCATCCGAAAAAAAACTGCATAAATATATTATTATAATAGGAAAGCTATCTAAATCTAAGTTCAATATTTGTTTAAAATTATAAATATATTTAATTCCAATTAAATTGTTATATTTGTATTTTTAGCTAGCATTGAACTTGTCCTTTTGTCATTTATTTATTATCTGCTAACAATTGCCGTTGCATAGAAAATGTTTTTTTCTACAGAATATAAATAGCCTAATTGAGGTATTAAAACAATTGTTTAATGCGAATTGAATTTAATAAATGCATAAACAAATTCCAACTCTAACATAGCAATACGAGCTAGCTAACTGTACTTAAACATTGTTATGCATAGCTCAGTAAGTGCTTAATTAAATGTTGATTTATTTGTTGAGCGTGAGGGAGAGAAGAGAGAGGAAGGCTTAAAGTGCTTTAAATGAATGGGTAAAGCTAAATGGGCAGCATTTAATTGGATAACACTTGTATTAATACTATGAAAATAAATAATGAAATTTTAGTGAGCGAATGGGCAGCACTTTTCACTGTAATTGATAGGCTGTGATAGGCAGCACTGACTAACTGGAGTAATCTCAAGAAATGGCGCGAATACCGTTAATTCCACAACCAGTCTTCAAACCTAATACTATCTACAAATGAGCAGCAGTTCTCTCTCAAGAGCAATCAGAGCTTAATACATAGAACAATTACCAATAAGACATTTTCTTGAATATTAGACATCTATGTTAAGTTGCTCTAATGAAAAAAAAAAACAGCACTTTTTCGCTACGCACGCGCCACAGTGTGTGGCTGAAAAAAAAAAAGTGCGATTACGCAATTTGGTAACAGTTTTATTCAAAAAAAAAAAAAAAAAATAACAACAAAAATAACTGTCAGCCCATAAATGTTGAGAGTTTAAAGTGCTTGAAATGTGCTTTACATTATTGCCATGTCTTTCACTATGGCCATAACATTTTGCAAATACCGAGACCAACCCACACACACAGACAGGCACACACACGCACACAGATACACCCGCCCGGACGGTGCGGCACGCACCAAGCAAAGAGCTCGCATTCGTTCAGTCGTCTCTGTGTGAAGCCATTCACAAAAACGTTTGCGGGCTCAAAATGTGATTTTAATTGCACAACAATTTTCGAGTTGGCCGGGCCCAGTTCTACATAGGCCCAAAGCGTGTTTTATGGGGCTGCACGCTTGACACATGTAACCCAATTCTGTCGAGAGTGAGAGAGAGAGAGCAAACGAAAGAGAGGGCGTGAGAGAGGGAGGGTAAAGGGGGTGAGAGAGAGGCGTTGCACTTGCAATTTTTCAACATAATTGAACAGCAAAGTTTTAATTAAAAAGCGTGCGTTCGGCAAATAAGCGAAAATAAACTGCAAGAAATATGTAGCGCCAATTGTGGAGGTCAACTGCAGTCAGTTAACCCAAAGAGGGAGCCGAGCCGGACAACCTGTTCCACGCACTCGGATCAATCTGCGGCTTCCTGGCCCAGCCAGGCCCGACCCGGCCTGGTCAGTGCGCGCTTTCTGATTACAATGCAATAAATATTCGAGTCTCTTTTTTTTTTCTTTTGGGTCTGTCAAGGTTGTGGCTTGTCGGAGCTTCATTAATGAAGTGCCGAAACTTGGGCTCGTTGCCAGGCGTTGTGGCACTTGCAACTCGTTGCGGGGCAACCGGTTCACAGACGGCAGCAGCTTAGCTTAATGCAGGTGGTGATTCCAACTTGTGGCCAGACAAAAGGTAGGCCTATCGGGGCATCAAGGCTGCGCTGCCCTTGGCTGGTGTCCTCTCCATTGAACCGGTCCAAAAGGTTCTGGCTTACGCAACAACCAGTGCCAAGTGCCTGCTGACCCAGTTTATGCAGCTTAGCTATCCATTCGCAACGGCTCCACACTCATTTAGACATCATAAATCGCATCATCTAGAAGGATTTCAGATGCCTTATTCTCTTCAAATTTGTTGCTTTTTTTTAACAATAGCTGCACTTCCACGTTTTGCCGCCTTTAACATTGAACTTGAGGTGAGTAGCGTCATATTTAAAAATATTTTTTGTATACATT